GTGGTTATCATCCTTACATTTTATGCCCTCTTGAAACTCCCAACAAACATTGGAAGCAGAATAAGAGCTTATTCAGAGGCGTGGTGTAGTGGTAAGCGTGACTGCCTCTCTCCAAAGGGCGGGGATTCAATCCCAGTCGGCACCGTCGGGATTTTCTAAGGCATAACATCTCTGATCGCCGCATGCCTTCCTTCGGAAGGGAAGTAAAGGCGTTGATCCACGATCCATGAGGTGGGTGGGGTCAAGGTGTGGGAGCAGCCTCCCTGGCGTCGGTATCATTGATACTCAGTACGGAAAACAAGATCGACGGAAAACAAATTAAAGAAAAAAAAGAGCTTTAGCTTGTTCAGCCTTTAATCAGCTGAAATTGTTTGTTCTAAGCGTGGATCGAAATATTGATCTAATTAAACGAGACAATTTTATAGCTGATACGTTCCGCACAAATCAACACGCATATTACTCGGATCACTCACGGGTTTTTTTTTTTCATTCCGACTGGCCAACCACAAATCCAATCGGATTCCCATCTGTTACATTCGATCAGATAGCCACATCTTTCAGAAGATATCAGGGAAAATTGGAATACAAAATCTGGAGAAGACTGATGACACTTCCTGGAGTCGAGATTAGTTGGATGCAACTTCTTGAACAAGTTCAAAAGAAAATCTTCCAGAAACTTTTTTGGGGTGAATTCAAATGCATGTTCCACGATAAATCAAAATATTAATATAATTTTGATACATTTAATTTATACTTCATGGATATTAAGATGCCCAGAGGATCATAATCGAAATTCTTGCGGTATTAATCATTCCACAAGGTGCTTGTTAAAATGGATTTAAAACTAAAAATCCACGAGATTTAAAAGAAAACACTTTTCTCTAAATTTTGATAGTTCTACAGGAAATGTTCTTAACTTTAATCCTGCCCATCATCACGAATTAACCTAACAAAAAACATTAACTACCAGTAAATCATTTGTTTGCAATAATTTACTGATTTATTCATCAAAATACCGAATTGAAAATACTGATAAACTCAGCACAAATATATGTTAATAAATAAAATATTGAATAAGACAGCAAATTCCTAGTGAAAAAAATTATAATGCGTTATAAAACTTCAATGATTCTGCCATTTACGCAACTTTCAGTTAAATAAAAAACCACAGGGTTGATTATTGAAAACGCAGCTGTTTAAAACACAGTAATTTTTTTTTTCCTTTATTTAACGTCGGTCTCTGTTCCGCAATCTAGTGTCAATCACCGACGGACATCGATTGCCGACGGCAATCGAATGTGCTGGAAGGCAGCTTCCACACTTGCGTAGGATATCGCACCCATTCAACACACATGGGCCGGTACCAACGGCTTTACTTCCCTTCCGAAGGAAGACGTGACTCGAGATTTTTATGCCTCAGGAAAATCCCACCGACCTCGGCTGGGATTGAACCCAGACCCATTGGGGTGAGAAAGCAGTCACGCTTACCACTACATCACCAGCGCCGGTCAGTAAAATTTTACCGTCCTCGGTAATCTAAACTATTTGTGCATGGACGTAAAAACGAGATCCCCTCATCGTTTTATTTCCTCTATCGGAGAGAAGGCATATTTTATGATGGTAATAAAAACATGTACTTTTTATGCAAGATGGAGGCACACCGGATGAATTCTCGCCCCAACAAGAAGGCCCAGATGCAAGAAAAGGATCAACTGAAGAAAGAACAAAAACAAGACGTCGAACAATAACAACAATAACAGCAGGAAGAAGAACAGAGTGGCAGCAGTACCCGAGCAGGAACCGATAACATTTGAATATGTTAATGGGGTATAAAACCGTGTTTTCATACAATTCAATTATCGGCATATTTTGTAAAATACCAAATAAATACCAAAATAACAAAACCAGATGTTTCAGTGTTTAGACAATAACTTCAAAAGAGTTATTTTATTGGTATTAGAATACCTTTTAAATACCAAATTATGGTATTCTGGCTTAAATAGAAAGCGTTTGTTATCCGTCAAATATTATTAAAACTAAATAATGTATTCGTTCGTTATTCGTAGAACATTTTTGAGGTATTATTTTTGGTATTTTACCTCTTTCCGAGCAGGAGAAAATACCTTATGGATACCAAACTCAGGTATGAAAATAGCATAACGGGTATCCTAAATATGGTATTGACGAGGCTGACATAAGAGGTAAAATACCTAAAACAATACCTAAAAAATGTTCTACGAATAACGAACTAATAAATAATTTAGTTATTACAATAACAAACTGGGGGGTCTTTTACCCTTTTTAGATGCCAGAATGTTATTTTGAAGGTATTCTATACCAATTCAATGACTCTTTTAGGTGTTTTTGTCTAAAAAATGGAAGATCACATTTCGTTATTTTGGTATTCATTTCATATTTTACAAAATATTTCGGTAACTGAATAATATCAAAACAAGGTTTTATACCACAAGCATACCAAAATCTGGTATCATACCACATTAAGATATTCATTTGTTATCGATTAGCTATCGGTTCCTGCTCGGGTTGGGTTAACCCGAGCAGGAACAAATATCTCGATACCTTAAATTGGTATGGATGAGCCTGACATAAGAGGTAAAATACCAAAAAATAATACCAAAAATATGTTCCCACAATACCATTTCAATACCAAATTATGATAATGCAATACCAAAACAATACCACCCAGGTATTCTTTTGGTATCCAAATATCAATGTTTGGTATTTACAAAGTATTTTGCACGTAATTTTTTTGGTATTATTCTTTGGTATTTTACCTCTTATGTCATGCTGGTCAATACCAAATTTTGGTATCAGATCAGAATTAGGTATTCGTTAGTTATTTTCTCCTGCTCGGGTTGTGTCAGGCTCGCAATATCATATTTAGGTTGCCAGTTATGCTGTTAGCATGCCTGAATTTGGTATCAATAAGTTATTTTCTCCTGCTCGTGAACGCTTGTTTTATGCCAGAATACCACAATATATTATTTAAATAGCCTTCTAATACCAATCCAATAGCTCTTTTAGGTGTTATTGACTAAAAACTGAAAGATATTTTTTTTTTGTTATTTTGGAATAAATACGATATTTTACAAAATACTTCCAGCGTGTCCATTCAAATCCGATTTTTCAATCCCCGGTTTATCCTGGTAATTCAAAAATAATAAAAACCTTTCTTAAACAAAAAAAGGGTTCGAATATAACGGTTAATAGATAGTCATATATTTTTTCAACAGATTTGCTCTACAATATGTCTACTTTGAAGAAAAAAAAAAATATGAGAAGAGATTTGTATCAACAGGTTGATAATCTACACACTTAGAAATTACATGATTTGATCATTTAAACAAGGTTGAACAAGTTTTGAAATTGTTTTCAAATTCATTAGCCTTTAAAATGAAGGTCAAAGTTTTACCGAACGTTCAGCTGTTCTGATTTCGGTAAAATTTACTGAACACGAAAACAAAATCTTAGTGTGTAGATCTCCAAAATCTCATGGAATAATGAAAGAGCCCCCTGTAAAAAAGTAACCTGAATGTTGGTTTGGTATGTTGAAAAACATATAGAAATTTTATTGGGGATTGAAGGTCATTCAGGGTAAATGTGAACTCTTTAAAACAATATTAAATTCAAATTGTAGCTGATTTTAGCCCAAACTACATAAGAATTCTTAAAATTGTGTTGTCCTTTCGGCGAGCAATTTATTAGTTCCCACAAAAAATCACACCGTTCGTCATGATAAGTTATTTAAAAAATTAGAACCATGAATCCACTTTAGCACCTAATTCCATATGTATTGTACCTTTCAATTTGCTTTACTTTATGAACTGTTGTATGAAGGCATATTAATCGAAGAATATGTACAAAACACTAATGTCTTACGAAAAATAAAGCTGTAATAAATAAGCTCTCAAAAATTTAGGGTCAAATAGGGTGGAATGGCCCTAAACACATATTTTTAAGGCTCTATGACGCATGAAACTACGTGCAATTGATTTCTCAGACCTTTTCTCTTCGAAAAAGTCATTGTGCATGGCAGAAATTCAGCGTCCTTTTTAGATATTGAATTTTGGGTAATTTTGAACCCATTTTTACCCATTGTGCATCGGTGGGGCAAAAGTGAACACTCATATTTGTTCTACCTACGAATGACCTGAAAATCAATCAAAGTTAGGTAATTAAAAAACGTAAGTCTTAAATCCTGTGTATGGAATTACCACCTATCTCTTATATTGACCTGCTCAAATCTGTACCATACATTTCCTATTTATCTTGTTCAAATTAGCAATTGGGCAAATCCTAAGAAATCATTAAAATCAAACGCTGCTTCTAATTAGTTCCATGGTTTTGCTGCATGACTTTGAATTTAGTTCACTAACGGTGATAATATTTCACTTATCGATGACTTCTGTTCAACTTAACGAATGTTCTCACTTACACTAGAACTGGACAGAGAATCATTGGAATCAATTATCGTTGTTTGACTTCCCGTAGATCCGAGTGATTTTCACAGCTTTTCGTGGTTTGCTGTCCTCCAATTACTTATGATTTTCACATTAGTAATTGACTGTAAAATCACCTGCCATGTTCTTCTTCCTTGTCTTTTTTTTTGTGACGTTCCAGAACTGAACCGGTTAAAGAAATTCTTTGTAACAGTTCCACACATATCAATCAACAAACTTTTTATCTTCACATTCCATCCTTGCACAGCAAAATTTGCTCCTAGCTCAGCCAATATCCACACGGCTGTGACAAATTTTCAACCACTCTTCAATTTCCATGGAATACTGCTCTGTCGTGAGCTTCCACCGACTTTAAAATCACACCGATCCGGGAGCTGACAGTTTCACCACACAAAACACCAAACTTCAACGTACATGCAATATTCACAGGACACTGCAAAGCCCCATTCCAGAACCGAGGGGTCCACCACTTTCCAACGATTCGCCAATTCTCGGAGGCTCAACCTCCTGACCACCCACCTCTCCGACACGGTCACAATCACACCTACAAATGCACACTCACGAACAGCGCGCCGCGTTTGTACGGATTCCGTTCGAACCGCAAACAAAAAAAAAACTTTCAACAATGTTTTCGCAAAACAAAAACTACTTGAAAATTCTCAAATAAAACTTGCTAATAGTAATAAAAAAACTACCGCGCGTACCTGTTCGAACAAACTGCTGCGCTCGTTGCCACTGCTGCCGCCAGACGTCCCGACGAGGCTGGCTGCTGCTGATGCTGCTCCGACGCTACGCTTGCTTCACCTGAGACGGCAAGATCGGTACTGAGTTCTTCGGGTGACGATTTTGTTTTGATCCTCTGAGACAACGCTCCGTCGCCGTCGCCGTCTCCACCACCCCCAGCACCCCCAGCAGCAGTGGGCTCCTCGGCGAGGGCAGCGGGTTCGTCACTCTTTCTCACCAAGTCGCTCACGCTCTCACCAGCAGCACCGGGCATCGCATGGGAACTGCGCAAACTCTCGCTTTCGTTTGAGTGCCGACGCTTTGCTGGACCACCACCGGCATCCATCGTCGGCGTGGACGGCGTCGGTGGGTTCGCTGTTGGTTCGGGTTGATGCTCTCTATGTTTTGATTTCGACGGTGGAGCAGTTTGTTTGGATGCTGCAATGACGGTTGCAAGCGTCGTCGTAGTAGTTGTGGACGCTTGAAGTGGAGCCGCTGACGATGATGATGATGATGATAGTGATGACGATGCTGCTGCTGCTGCTGGTGGAGGTTGTGATGTGAAATTGGAACCGGTTACCGCTTGACCTGCTGTTGCTGGTGCTGGTGCTGCGACGTGGGGAGCTTTGTTTGTTGTGGTTTGCTCTTTTGGAGGTGGATTCTGAAATTGGAGGCAAACAGAGAGAAACAGAGAGAAGAGTTTTTAGGAGCATTTTCACAAAGACAGGAGGTGGTCACGTGAGAGAAAAACTTGGGAAAGCTTTTTCCATTTTTTTTTTCGCAACAGAAGGATGGAAAATTTAACGGATGGTGTCTTCTGGGAGGAGGTGAACGATTTCTCAAGATGTTCAAGAGGACACTTAAAAATCAGAGCTTGTATGTTCATCCTTTAAGGCGTGCACGTTCTATTTTATGGCAGTAGGTGAATGGGACAAGACCAATTTGCATTCATTGTGACTAGTGCTAGGGGAAAGATTGCTGAGAACTGGAACAAAGGGAGTGCAAATTGAATTGTGAGGCAGAAGAATTTCTCCGGGCACAACTACAAGAAATGGCTAATCTTATTAGGCTTGACTTTTACGACGATTGAAATTTGTCCAATCAAGTCAGTTACACGCGAGTGAAGGATCCAGTAAACGAACATTTCTGAAACAAATATATAATCATGTTTGAACAAATGAATTCCTTTCATCGAGCTATTATTCGCTTTGCTGGGAGCTATTCCAGAATTCAATCTTCGAAGATGTTTGTGCTAGCATCGCTCACGTGCATTAACAAGTTGAGAATGCGACAAACATCAAAGATAGAATTTTGAAAGCATATCTACTGCTTACTTGTTTCAAGATCATGATTCAGGCTATGGCATTTGTGTCAGATTAGGATTGGGCGATCTTTAGTAAAAGATCGATCTTCGAGGATCGATTTTATTTACGGCACAAGAATCGATTCATCGATTTCATTGGTACAATAGAATTTATGTTTGTCGGATAACTGATATGTGCAGTTCAGATCAATTCTAAAACACTATGATAAAAATTTACTTGCTTTTCAAGCACAGTAAGCAGTGATAAGAAACTTTTAAGCATCTCCGGTATAATGGACAAAGTATCCGGGTCTCGAGTCTTTACGGTATATTTTGAAAATTTAAATTAAATATCAAAATTAACATGTTTTAATTTCCAGTTACTCGTGTTTTTCGAGAGATTTGTTAATTAAGCAGAAACATTTATTTAAAAATACTTTCAATGGTGTGACTGCAGTCTTTGTTTTCAGCCAAGACTACTTCCATTAATTTAACATTAAACAATATAATAATACCAATGATATTTTGGTTACAGTAAGAGATTATAAGGAATGTGTTGTTCACATAAAACCTGCAAATTTTGTTTCAAAGTCACAATCAGAGATTTTCTGATCGCTGTTCGCGATTAATGAATAATAAGTGAGAGAAAATGGTAAAATCGTTTATTGCGACTCTCTTAAAGCGCGTAAATGTGTGAAACACAAACTATACAAACTCTTCCTTATTCTTGCAAATACAAAATATCAACACATTGATAATATCTTATGATTTCATTACCCCATAAAACATCTGTTTAAATGAAATGAATGAAAGAACCCTGTTGTCAACCTAACTGTCATAATGCATCATAATGAAAGAGGCAACATATGAAATTTACATTCTCAGCCCTATTTTATACAACGCTCTCAATGTTTTATAAATGTTGATGGTGATTTTGAGGGCATGTTCATTAAATTTAGGTTTGGGGTGAAAGAAAATCAGTTTTTCGATGCACAATGCATGTTGTCAGACATTTTAAGATTATGGCCGTTTTTGTACGGTTAATATCTGCCATTTGCATCAATTTCCGGGAAAAAATTCAGAGTTTATCCATCCATTGTGACATCGGATACTTCTGATCATGTTTGCTTGCAAGCATCAGAAGAGATGCCTGCGTTGTTTGATTTTTTCTCCTGGACCAGAAATTAGTGGCATCGCGAGTGATAATGTGCGTGAAAGAGCTCGGTACGATCGGCTTTGATGTTGGTTCGCTTGCAACTATTTTTACAAAAAAAAGGTGTTTTCGTACGAAATTGATATCAAAAGTGTACCAAAAGTGCGTCTGAACGTGTTTCGCAGTTGGGAGTCGTAAAAATTCGTGAATTAGCGGTTTTTTTTTCAGTAAAAATTCTGTATCACAAAATTGCTCACTGAGTTCCCGTCGACGACGACGGGTTTACGAGAGGAAAATAAGCATCGGGAATGTGCTTCCGGATACATTGATTTGGTGAGTACGTTCCAGTTGACTATTGCTCTTAGGGGCTGTTCATTAACTACGTAGACAGGATTTTCGGATTCTTGCTCCCCCTCCCCCCTGCGTAGACAATTGTCCATGCAAATTTTTTTAAATTTTTGTTGGCCGTGCATAATTGCCAACGCGACGCGACCAATCCAAGAGAATCTTATTATTTTTTATCAACGTCGCTTAAGAGTAGAATTTAATGGAGGCATAAGCGCTTTTTCGTAGCTTTTTTGTCTCCAGGTTTAAAAGATCATCGGTAGTAGAGGCTTATTCATGTGTAAAGGGCACCACCGTGGAGTTTGAGTTTGAATAAATCCCAGGTCCTCTTATATTATTATTATATATTCAATGACAAATATTTAAAACAGGATCAAACACAACTGGAAGAAGCAACGTAACATTGTTTGATTTTCTCTAATGTATGTTCAACGTTTGTATGACAGACAAGGAATCAAAAATATCTCCAAATGACAAAATGACAAGCGATCAACGAACCGAATAATAACGCTATGTCAGAACTGCAAAGCAATAATGATATAATCTTCTTCCTTCTTTTTCATGACAAGCAGCCCGTGCGACACAATTCACTCGGGGCGGTAGAAGGAAACGAGCAAATTGTTGGCGAGCTGCTTCACGAAGTAAAGCCGAACATGATACACGTGTGTTAATGCGAATTTTTTGTTATGCCTTTTCTCGATTCATATCAAGCTATGTCCTCATCCGTGTATATTGCAACAAAGAAGGCAAGCAATATATCATTATCCTTCTACTACTCGGATCGAGCTATGTTACAGAGCGAGTTTGTCATGGTAGTCGTAGCAACCGTTTTGTCTGTATCGTTGGTTGCTTTATGTGTTTGGATTCGCTGATGACAGAGCAATTAACCATTTTATTTTTCCATTCCCGGAGAGAAAAGTCCATTACTTGTTGATATATTTATTTGTATACTTGTAAATACTCATTTAATCAGATTCGGTATATGAGTGATGGGGGAGCTTATTGTGTTCGCGAGTCCTCCGTTCAGGCTGGATTGACTGATTTAAATCTTTAAGTTTATTTTCAGCTCTTCGATGATGGAAATTTTTTAGAATAATATTATAATGGTTCACTTTTTCAGCCTTCGTTAAGGAAAATACAAAATCATTGTAATACATGATAACAAGTGCATGAAACCTGTTAACTGTCCAAATAACCTCGATTTTTCTGACTATTGATTCATTATTAAAGTTTACCAATATTTTTAAAAGCATTCCATATTGCGTTTAACCATAGTGCATAATAAAGTGTTTGTTTCAATTTAAATAAAATATCAAAAGTTGAAATCAGTTAAATGTACTGAGGTTAACTAAAATCGAGCTTAGTCGTATTTTGTAATACTTGCTTATTTCTTATTTATTATATTTTATATATTGCATAATTAGTAAATTATTTTTGTTTCACATATTTAAAATCCCACTATATCATTATAGCTATAATTTTACCTTTGCAGAATAATTCATGGATACTTGTTTTTATAACATATACAAGCATACAAGCTCAAATAACCTCTATTATTTAGCAAATTGATTATTTACTTAAATTGTGAATTCATTACATAGGCAAAGTTGAGTTCAATCATACCATGCAATTAAAATATTCATATATAGCTTGAGTTTAGAGAAATTGAGTGACTAAAATCGAGGTTGTTTGTATTTTGTTATATTTTATTAATTATATATCGACGAGATGGAGCCGGAATTTCGACGTCTGTGTTTTAAGGATATACCTGCGATGGGTCACTGAAAGTCAACGAGGAGGCTTGTTGCTGTTGGTGCAGTTCCGCTTGGTTATTTACCAAGGTGTGATCATTTCTTTTTATTTATTTATACAGTAACCCCTCCATATCGTTAGGACATCAATTCAGCTTATCGTTTACCAAAACGAACCCTGCTGCAAACCCTACCCTCTTATCCAACATCCCAGTGATTCCTCGTGGAGGTGCAGAGGATTTCTCGACTTCCATCAAAGCGAGTGTCACGTCAACACACTCCTACCCATTCCTTTCTTGACCTGCGTTCAGGCGCAGCCGGCGCTGGTATTGTCTAGTTTGAGATCACCAGTTTTTACACATTGAGGATGATTGCTAGTCCCAAGCATCGTCTATTGGTTCTCTGTGTAAGTACAGCTGATCTGGCAATAACAGAGTAGCAACCGTGGGCCCCCCATGCTCATGCTCATGCTCATGCTCATTGTGACATCGGATCCTTCATACATTTTACATATTTAATATCCATATACATTTTACATATTTAATATCCAAAAAAGCCTCTAGGGGTGATTCAGATATGACGTCAACGATTAAATTAATGAATGGTAGTGTCGAATGGGACTTGAGAGGGATTGCTTAGTTTAACGGCTTTCTCAGTCTTAAATACTCTAACGACTACGATGTAATCTGTCCGACGTTTCGGCCATGGGATGTGACTTTTTACAAGCAAAAATATTGTCTGTCTTTATTGTCAATAGCTTGGTCGTTGTTGTGGTTGATTTTACAAATTTAGGTTTCATTTAATGATATTTAAGGGAAAAACAACTTGGTCACAATTTTGATCACCACTGAGGACAACGATAATTTTAAAAATGTTCAAAACTATTGTTGTTCTCATCAAAATTGTGTGATTTGGATGGACAGCATGTTTGAAATACACGCATTAAGTTTGAAAGTGGTCTCAAGCACGATTTGTATGGTATGGTACTCATAAATGTAGTAAAATTGCAACTTAGTACTTATGCGTTAGGGTGGAGCTTTTTTTACAAAATCTTTTGGGGACACGTTTTCTCATGTGGAAAATGATTACTAGGGCCAAACGAACAACAT